CCGTGAAATCATGACCTGAGATGAAACCAAGAGTTGGATGCTTAACCAACTGAGCCACCCAGGTGCCCTTATACCATAATGTTTATTAAAAATTATATGATATCCAGTATTTGTTTTGAAATAATCCACTGGGGATGGTAGGAAGGGATAAAAAGTGAATACTAACCAAAACTAACTGCTGAGGCTGGGGGCAGGCCTAGGACACCACCACACTGATGGCCCTGAAGCACAGGCAGCAGCAAGAACCCACTCTCAGAAGACCATGCTCCAGCTAATGAAACAAACGCACTATTTTTACAGAAGCCTAATGCTAGAAGTTTTCTTTTATTTGCTTTGAAACAGTAAGTGTCCTCGACACATGGATACCTGCCACTCACATAAACAGAGCAGCAGATCTTAGAAGGTGGGCGTCCTAAGAACCTGTCATGATGCAGGCATATCCCTATTCCTCATGCCTGTGACTGGTCAGGACAAGACATGCCAGCGTGCTCTGGAGTCCTGTGCAGCTCTCAGGGATGGCGGGAAGAGCTGCTTATTCCAGAGCCAGGCTGCAGAAACATCCTCAGAAAGCCACTTTCCTCATCAAATTCCAACTCACACCAGCAGCCCACACTGCTCCACCTGTGTCCCACAGAACAGTCAGAAACACTGTTCTCCAAGCCCTAATGATACAGTTTGCACAGCGACAGCTGACAGAAAGAAATGTCGGCATCAGCTATGCCAGCCACCCCAAACCACACAAGCTTGACGGATTATTCACCTGTTCAGTCTTTCTTGCAATGAGGTTGCCAATGGTCTTGCTGAAAAAACTGGCGAGCAGAGGATTCAGAGGCGGCTCGTGGTCCAAGAAGTCGTAAAGAAGGTTCAGCAAAGTCTCATCCCCTCCTAGTCTGTCGTTGATCTGTGGCACGTCACATGTCAGCAGCTCACAGGCTGTGTTTGGATACCTAAGAGGGCACAATGCAAGCAACTGGAGGTGAAATTAGACTTCTCCAGCTCTCAGGAAGCTGCTTAAATGACCAGCCTCGTAGGAAGCAGGTCCATGGGTAAGACCAAAACACTCACAGACCTTGGAACGAAGTAAAAACGTGAATATTCTGTGACCAACTGGCATTTTTGACTACTACAAGCTCAATGTTTTTAACATGCATTTTTCTTGCTCCGCATACCCTACACTCTGGTATCTCACCGTTTCTGACTCTACTGCACTCTCTAAATAAACCTTCTGAGTCTTTTGCATCTCCTCTCTCAAAACCTCTGCCCTTACACCCACCTGCCAGGGCTCTCACCTCCTGTGACCACACAGTTAGTGACACCAAGTCCATCATGCGCACCCTCCCTCTCCATACCCTTCCTGTCCCAGCATACCAACAAACAGAACCAGCTTGTCTCTAGGTTAAAGAAATGCCACATCAGGGGTCCCTGGGTGGCTCAGTCGGTTAAGTGTCTAACTCTTGATTTCGACTCAGGTCATGATCTCACAGTTGGTGGGATCAAACCCTGCGTGTCTCTGGGCTGACAGTGCAGAGCCTGCTTGGGATTCTCTCTCTCCCTCTCTCTCTGTTCCCTCGCCCACTTGGGCATGCTCTCTTGCTCTCTCACGCTCTCTCTCTCAAAATAAATAAACTTAAAAAAAAAAGAAATACCAATATTGATGTACCAATACCAAATGATGTACTATTCACTTGATAAAAATGACCAGATACAAAATAATCTTTATCCCATCACATGTAATACCGTGACATCACTCTGCTCCCTGACTTACCTGATAGACGCAGGGTCACTGCCATTGCCCTGCAGTGGGCACAGCTACTCAACAACCTGCCACATCCAGGACACAGCCCACAACAGCAGGGCCAGTAACAGTGCCTGGAGCCATATCCAGAAACATCTGGGAACGCAAGGGATCGTCCCATGGAGCTGACTGCCCTAGAGCACATCTGGCACAACCCAGGGCAAGCTCGGCAGCTTCAGGCACATCACCTAACCTCTCTGTGTCATTCTCATTTGAATGTAGAGGTGCAAGTGCCCACCCTCCCCACAAGGATGAATATAAAACAGAGCAGTGCCTGGCACACAGTAAGCCCCAGGTCAAGGTCAGTCACTCTGATCCTCCTGCTCCCGGCAGCCACCTGCACAAGCCCTAACAAAGGCCTGAACCAACGAGTGGTCACTGTGGCCTGGCTAGTGAGGCCTGGGTTTGAGACCCTGGAGAAAACAGTTGGCAGAGTATGGCAGTCAACCACATGTGGAAGGGGGAAGAAATTGAGAAATCTAGGTCTGGCTCAGAGACGGGTGCTCCTTGTCAGCCCCAAGAAGAGAAAGCACCTTCTAGAGACCAGAGAAACAGGGCCGTGTGGGCAGGCCGGGTGTGATGGACATGACGCATTCACAAAGAGGTGTCCCAGTTCAATACGCAGGCAGGCCCAGGCCAGGAGAGGTGTAGGCAGTGCCCAGGGAGGGGTGGGAGCAGTGCCGACCTCATGGGATGGTTAGAAGGGTTGAATGAGTCGGCTCAGCCCTATGGATGTACACTGTGAGACCAGCATGGCAGAGAACACAGAGGCGCCAGGGGCAGGTCGTCAGAGAAAGCCTGCTCAGAGTACAGGGCAGAAGGGCCAGGTCAGCGACCCTGAAGGCCAGAGCAAGACTTGTATCACACAGGCAGAGAGGTTCCCACCAGACTGCAAACAACAAGAGAAGACGTACCAATGGCACCAAAGAATCAAGTCCCAGAGAAAAGTATAGACTATTCCTTCAGGAGATGTTTCCAGAGCACAAGGAATGGTCCCAATCTGGTCTCCACACACAAGCAAATGTGCACACATGTGGCAAGCTGAGCTGTAAGGCAATGACCCTCTAAGGTGGAGGGACTGAGATAAAGTACTGATTTAGCTCGTTCTAAGATTTATGCAGAGAATAGGAACTCCAGCTAAGCATGGCAGATCAAATATACAGGCTTGTTAGCATTCCCTCTCAAATTCCTACTCCAATAACACAGAGGAAAAAAGACAAGAAAAGAGAAGTGGAAATGATCCTTGGCAAGGCCCGGAGGACTGGCGTGGCACACCAGGGAATCGAAGTCTCAGGTGGCTACAGAGGGAGCACCAGCTGGAAAGCACTGGACACAGAGGCAGCAGCTACTGGACAGGGCAGAGGGCCTGGCTCAGGAGAGGAGTGGGCTTCCTGACCCTCTCTTGCCAGGACAGGACTCAGAAGTTATTCCCAAGGGCACCTGGGGGGCTTAGTCAGTTAAGCATCCAACTCTCGATTTTGGCTCTGGTCACGATCTCACAGTTCGTGGGATAGAGAGCCCTGCACCGGGCTCTGTGCTGACAGCTGGGAGCCTGGAGCCTGTTTTGGATTCTGTGTCTCCCTCTCTCTCTCTCTGCCCCTCCCCTGCTCATTCTCTCTCTCTCTCTCTCTCTCTCTCTCTCTCTCTCTCTCTCTCTCAAAATAAATAAATAAATAACCTTAATAAAAAGATTATTTTTAAAAAGTGTCTCTCTTTTAAAAAGAAATAAGGGCTGGGGCTCCTGGGTGGCTCAGTCAGTTAAGCATCTAACTTTGGCTCAGGTC